AGAAATGCTTTCTCAACAAAAACTCAGGCTAGTAAAAACTGCTTTGTTAAAAAAAATAGTTAAAATAGAAACCAGGCATCCTTTCATCAACTATGTTTTAGGGTAACAGATCTGCACAATATCACGGTAGCTGGATGCTGTCCTCTTGGTCCCTACAGCTGTGGCCATCCATCTTTTTATAGAGGCACCAAGAGTTTCTCCTGAGTTATCAGGGCTTTATTCATCTCCTCTCCTTCCCTTCTCACATTCGTAATGTGTTCCTACAGCCATGTCAGACTTCCCCTAAAAACAGCTTATGAGGTAATGTGAGTCCCCTGTATCAATTTTGCAAGTGTCTAAAGCTTTGTTCTATTCACGTAAGGGCAAGCATTCTATCGTATTACCTTTTCTTATTGAAGGTCCCAATAACCTTTGTACAACTGGAGTTGTCTCCTCCACACACCCCGCACTTGTCATACTGCAGTTTTGAGCCAATGATGCCATCGCAGCCCGTGCGCACACACTTCCCGCGCACGCAGACGGAATTGCTGTAGGGCCTGCACTCAGTCCCATCGGTCACCTGAAATGGCAGACACAGCAAGAGTGGGAACATGGGTGCATTGCTATTTGATTCCTTTGGTAAACTAGCAAGTTCTCATTTACGTTTGATTGGAATAAGTCATATATTGAAAAATAAACCAGCAATCAAAAATCAACCAACCACTTAGTTTTCAGGGATTTATGACTGAAACATTCTTGCTATATTAGCGGTAAGAAGATCTGACACCTTTTCTCAATGTGCTAGGCCATCCTAGGTACTTATCTCTATTTTGGTATGCATAACATGTTCCCACAGTATCATCCGGTTTTTATATTGATTGAAACTTCTTTTTTCATCTATTGTGTGGAACTATCATGCCTGTAGAGAACTGAATATGAGCAGCCTTACGGACACAGAGATTCTTCTTTATTGCATAACTGTTCTTAGGGTAGCACATTTGAAAATCTAAACTTATTCAAACCCATGTGATTGGTTGAAAAGCATTCCCCATTGTGCATTGAAGTAAAGATAAATACGTTAATGTGGAAAATAAAATATGAGGAAGTCACAAAAATACTACTGAAAGAGAATGAATATATTTTGAATAAAGGAGTTAGTATAAACTTCCATTAAAAAGCTAGTTAAAAAACCATATGCATATAAACTGTGGCTTATGTATGTGAGTATATATAATACCACAAACATATATATATATATATATATATATGTTCATATATAAACTTGCATTTATTGTTTGTGTATAGACAAAACTCTTTTCATATATATATCAGAATGTGAGTGAAGGTGTGCATGTATGTAAAGTGAAGTAGAATATACTTCTATAGATCAATGGTTCTCTAGATAGAGCTATTTCCAGGTTATGTTTTTGTTTTTATTTCTCTGTGCTAATTATTTATTGGTACTTGGGTTTGAATGGAGGGGTACTTTACTACTGAGCAACATCCCCAGCTCTTTTTATTTTTTATTTTGAGACAGGGTCTTGCTAAATTGTTTAGGTACTTGTTAAGTTGCTGAGGCTGGTCTCAAACTTGGAATCCTCCTGCCTAAGCCTGCTAAGTAACTGGGATTACAGGTGTGTGCCATCCCATCTGACTCTATATTATTTTTTAAATGAAATGTATTATTTCATACTAAATGAAATATATTTTTCAAAAAAGCCACATAAATTGAACATTAGCTTAGTTTTCAATAATGTACATTTCTGAAGGCCAGTTTCAGAAGTATTATTAAATGTAGCACCTCTTTGCAAAATAGATAAACAATATTTAATAGTTGCTGCATAATAGTGAAAAAAAGAAAAGCCTGCAGTATATTTCCTAAGCAGATATGTTCATCTTTGAAAAATAAGAGATGACCACAAACCTAACTTATACATAGCTTGAAGGACACTTGATTCACATTGAGGATCCAAGACTTAGTCAAAACCTTGGGTCGGAGACAATGATGTTGATGCCTATCTTCCTGACTCAGCAGAAGAATTCTTAAGTAAATGACAGAAAAATTAAAAAGTTGCTTGCTTTATATTCTCCTTTGCAAATGTGCCTAAGAAATACTAGTTGTTTTCATGGCTATTTTGAAGTTTATGTCATACTTTGCTTGCCCTGACAGTGATTTATAATTTTCAAAAATAGCTTTTAAAACATTTACTTATTCTGTTGAAAAATAATTTTTATTCATTGTTTAAAGTTTGAAAATATAAAAATTATAGAAGTGAAAATAAAAATCTCCAAAATTCAAACCACCCCCAAAATAATGACTATTTACATTTGGCACCTGCAGCCTTCATTCTACCAAATAATTTGCACTAAGCACACCTCCTGCATCTGCACAGCCAGTGTGTAGTTACCTTTGGAGAAAACACCACGTAGTAGCCAGTGCCCTTGGCTCTGCAGGTCAGTTTGCACACGTCTGCTGGCAGGACGCCTGCATATTTGGGAACCCATTCTACAAATGTTTTGACTCCTTTTGCATCAGACTGATAGCCGTTTTTGGCCTCACATTGCTCATGACGAAAAGATTTACCTAGGAAAGAAAACATGTTACTTTAACACTTGACCTGTTCTGAGCCTTACATATTAATCTTGTGCATTTAAATAATTAATTTTAAGGAGATGATGCTAACTTTATCACAGAGCTTCTTTATGCATCCACGCTGAAAGATTTTATATCATTGTCTTCCACTTCTGTCTGCAGGATCATTATCTTCCAGTTCCCTGAATACACAACTTGTTTATAAAATAATTTAAAATCACTCACATATTTGTTATTGATTTGCATACTAGTGGAACTGTGCAGCATAATATAAATGTTATTTCCCTAGCTTCTCCTATTTATTTCTGTTAGAGTTCAAACACTTGTGGCACAAGGTAGTTACTGACGCAGAGTAACATACCATTAGGTGGGCAGGGCGTCACACTGCAGGAGCGGTAGATGGCTCTCTTCCCTGTGCAGTAGCGACCACTGTTTCTGGGTGCAGGATTATTGCAGTGGCGATAGGCAAACTGTACTCCTCCCCCACATGAGCGAGAACACTGGCCCCAGGGTCCCCAGGACCCCCAGTTGCCATGGCTTGATGTCTGAAATAAAAAAGAGAAACTTTTCTTTCTTTTTCTTTTTCTTTTTTTTTTAACCCAGGAGGAAAACATTCAAAAGGTACCTTTAGAAATCACTTGCATATAATGAGATAGTGGAAACCTCATGACAGTTACATTTTCATCAAATTTGAACATGATCGTGCTCTGGAATTGCAACACATTTCCAATTCCAAGCAATTCATCTTTCCCAGCCTTTATGGCCAGTGCCAGAGGATCTAATGCATCCTACTAAATACTAAGATACCACAAAGAGCTTCTTCTGTTTTCTATGAGACATTTTAAATTATGCTTTCTGATATTGTACAACTCTGTTGGTAACCACTGGACCACCATGTTCTCTTTCTGTACACGCTGATCTCAGGTCTTTGATAAAGTGCACAATGTTGATAGCTTTGCAGGAGGCCCGGCATTGTTCAATTGTGATTGCAAGTCCGTGTCTTTCTCCTCTTTAGCCCTGAAGCTGTAGGGTCCCCCTGATGATATCATGCATTTGGTCTGTGACAGACTCTGATCCTTATATAAATGTATTTCAAAGGCTTGGATGATTCCTAATTAGATGTGACAGAAACTGAAGGACACCTGTACCCTACATGCATGGATCCCATAGGGAAAGAAGAGCTCTGTAATGACAACCTAGGTCTAGTTCCCTGGAAACATTGTGGGATGAAGCTGAAAAGATTCAGAAAGGAAAAATATTTCACACTATTTCGTCCAGGGAATGTGCACAGAGCTACCTCTGGCTGCCTGTGTTGGAGTATCTGACAGTGTTAAAGACTAG